GGGATTAGTGGTTCTAAAAGATTTGGGTGCCTGGGACCAGAGAGCTGGTAGGAAGTAAATTGGGTAGGTAACGAAAGCCTGGTTTGGTTTTATTGTGTAGGCCCAGAAAAGAGAGCTTTTGTCTGTTAGATTAGTCCCTCTAGTGTCAAAACAGCCTTTAATAACACGTCTTAGAGACATTCGGCCTTGATTTAAGGCTCAAGTGGTGGAGGGCTTTCTTCATTCTGGTTGGCTATGGTCACTGTTTCAAATAGTCTTCCTTGTGTCTGTTGAATAATGGGAGCTAGGGCTGCAAAGAATGGCTGATCTTCTCCATCACTGGTAAGAAAAGCAGTGCAAACTCGATCTTCTGTTATTACTTGTCTGCTGTGCACCGTAAAAAAGAAGCAGAAAAGTTTAGGGGAAGACTCAGGTAGGACATAGAGGGGAGGAAGAGCTGGGAATGGAGGAACAGGGACGAGACTGGGAGTGGGATGCAGCTGGTATCCACTGCTGAAGGCTAGTGGCACCTTTTCATCAGCTTGGCAGTAGGCAAGCTTGTGACAGCAGATTTCTACATAGGTGCTTTGACTGGATGTCTGTATTGCCACAGGTGCTGGCTGACGGCTCAGCTCTGGACTGCTTGACGTCTCTGCGCAAAGATAACACTGGCTATGACTTAAAGCAACTTTTCATTGGATCCGAGGGGACCTTGGGAGTTGTCACTGCTGTCTCCATACTCTGTCCTCAGAAACCTAAGGCTGTGAATCTGGCATTCCTAGGTAGGAGCTGCTGTTAATAATTTCACCCTTGAATTCAGGAGCTGAGAAGAGAACAGGAATGGAGAGAAGAAAGCAGTGGCCGGCCTGCTGAGCTAGACTACCAGCATCATCTCATTCTTGAGAAATAGTATGGTGCTGTATGTTAAAATACCTGTACAGATATTTTATATCCGTGGTGTAAATGTGTAAAATACCTGCAAGGGTAGGTTGCTCTGCAAGGGAAGGGGAGCCAGGAGCTTAGCAGAATGAAGAGGCAGGCAGGACAGTGCCCTCACTGACAAGGGCCTGACAGTACCCAAGCAAGGTGAGCAGGACAGGTCTGGTGACAGTAGGCAGAGGCAGCACAGTCCAGTGGTCACCAGGTGTGTCTGTAGTGGCAAGGCTGGGAAGTCAAGCCTGCAGGTCAGGGAACGTGATCAGCAGGGTATGTGGTTAGGCACAGCTGCTGAAAAGCTGCGTCTGAGGAAGCCTCAGCAGGGGTGCTGAGAGTTGTGCAGACAGAGTAGTTTGTGGGGAGTCTTCACTGAAGACTTTTTTTTCTTTTTTTTTCTCAAAAACCTCCAAGGCCAGCAGGGGCTTTTCAGACAGCTTGCTCATATCAGATGTGGCCTTGAGAGCAGAGAGCTAAACTCCCAGGAGGGGATGAGTAGACTCCAAGCACTGACAGACCTGTGGAATACGTACAGTGGACACCAGAATTTGCCTGGACTCTCACAGTAGCCTTTAAATTTCTCTTGGGTTGTCTTCTTTCTGGTGCTGAGAGCTGGGGGTGGAGCAGATGTTCTGGTATGAACTGTCTTAGATTGTTCAGGAGGTCCTTGCCACAGCAAAGACTAATTGTTATATCCTCCTGTCGTTCTGCTCTGAAACCTTTCCTATTACAGGAACTGCTGATGTAGACCCATGCAGGGTAGCAGTTTACATTTTATGGAGATAGGAAAGATGACTAGAAGGCTTTTAAAAACTTTTTACAAGGTTTGGGGGGGGCTGGATTTTTTTGTTCCTGATTCCTCTCTCTGTTCTGTCTGAAGGGTGTCAGAGTTTCACTAAGGTTCTAGAAACATTTACAACCTGCAGAGCCATACTGGGAGAGATCCTGTCTGCCTGTGAGTTCATGGATGAGAAGTGCATGGAATTGGTTGAGAAGCATCTCAAGCTGTGCAGCCCAGTGACAGGTACCAGTGTCACTCATCCTGTAGAAAGAGGCATTGGACTCTTTGGGGGATTTTTAGCCTAGTTTTATGTATAAATGTCAATTTGTACACAGCATTCAATTTCAAACACATTTGGTAGAAGTCTTTAAAGACAAGACTTTTTACTTCTACTTGTTCCCACAAAACTCCTAGTTTTCTGGAAAGCAGTAGCTGGGTGAAGGACAGAGCATGTAAGTGAAGTGCCCTACAGATAAAAGATTGCCACTGGAGCTGCCTTTCTGCCTGGCACCAGAGAATCTGTGCAGTACAGGGACATCATGGAATTACCAAGCTTGGGAAAAGCGCCACAACCTATGCTAGATTCCTGTGCTTTTACCCCAGAGCATCTGCTTATTCTGTTCTCTCTCACCTTCAGGCAGCCCTTTTTATGTTTTAATTGAAACCTCGGGCTCCAACTCAACCCACGATGAAGAAAAATTGAACAGCTTCCTAGAACAGGCCATGACTTCTGGTTTGGTCACTGATGGAACTGTAGCAACAGATGACAAGAAAATAAAGGCAAGTCATCGTTGCCTCTTGCACAAATCTCTTTGACACGATTCTCTTCTTGGATTTGTATTTTTAATAGAGAGATGTTCAGACTGATGTTTTGTATGAACATCCCTGAGTGATCTGGTAGCTTATTTGAGATATTGACTAAGAATGCTAAGAGAGAATGCTTACCACTGCTGACTCTTCCCAGAAGGCCTGAGTATTTGGGGTTTCAGTGGCTGTTTCCCCTTTTAAAAAGATCAGAATAAGGAATTACATCTTTTAGTTGCTGGGGTAGGACCCAGACTGCCTGCAAACTATTGAAACCAGAAGCCGAGTTGCGATCGAAGTCCTGTAGGCCAGTGTGCCAGTGTGTTAGAGCCAGAGAGTCTGGTCCGAGGGAACAAGATGGACACTGTCTCAGTGAGAAGGACAGTGATTTATGTCTGCACAGCGAGCGTGAGTTATACACTGACTCATCCTTGCAGTTCAATAGAGGAGGCACATCCCCACTTCTTGGGAAACCCAAAACAGCTTTGGAGAGATGCCTGTGTTCTATCTGGGGTCCTGTTAAGCTTGAAGAGTTGGTGTATCACTTTACTGTACAATGCTGCCAAGAAAGTGTTATTACTAGCTTCCAAGAGGCAGAGGATATCAGGGGAAATCAGAAGTCGATGTTATATGCAAAGAATCAAGGCTCTTTTTCCCTCAGTGCCACAAAGCATGGAACCCAAGAGGTACTTGGTTTATTTGGATTTCTTTCATCTTTGATTCATCAGACACTGTGGAGCCTGCGGGAGAGAATCACAGAGGCCCTCACTCACGATGGCTATGTCTACAAATATGACATCTCTCTCCCTGTGGGAAAGCTGTATGATCTCGTGACTGACACAAGGGCTCGTCTGGGCCAGAGTGCCAAAAACGTGGTGGGCTATGGCCACTTGGGTAAGTGGGTGCTGGGAAAGGAAGTGATCGCACTTTTGTGCTCCAGCTTTTGCTGTGCAACTTCCTAGTAGTTTTAAAGGCTGTTTTTAGATTAGTGAGAGACATAGACTAAATAGCTGAGAGCTGCCAGAAGAGGAGGATGCATAAGGATCTTCACGTTTGAATTTCATTGCTTTCAGACTGTATTGCATATATTAATAGCAGGTTGCTAGCCAGCCGCTGAGCTGGTCATTCGTATCTTCTTGCTCTGTGCTTTCTGGTTAAGTGTGGAGGTTATTTAATTGGACCATCAATTTGCTTGATGTACTTGGACACATTTGGTAGATAAATGCTTTCTTGTCCGAACTGATTAGTTGTATTGGAAATCAATTTTGTGTGAGCCATTAACCCTTCAGAAGAGAATGTTGAAGGTAATGCACAGAAGGGCTGGTACATTTGTCAGAATACTTTGAAACTAATTTGAGTTTACAAGCAGGTAAATTGGTAGCTTACTAGAGCTGTTCTGTTTAAAAAAAAAAAAACAACAACAAAAAAAAAACAAAACAAAAAAAAAAAAAAAAACAAACAAACAAACAAAAAAAACCCAAACAAAAAAAAAAAAAAAAAAAGAACAGGATGCTCTTCAGGACTGATAATTTGAAAGACATAGAAAGGCAAGTCTGCTTTGTCTTCTTAGAAAGACAAGACAGAGGCTGCATCTGGTAGCTCTTGGTATTGAGGATTAAACTGTGGACTGTGAGGGTTTGCTGGGTTGCAGGAAGAGGTTCCAGAGTGAGAGTTGTGTTTATCTTTGTTTTGTCTTCTGAGTATCCAGCAACTACTTGCTTAATCAAATACTATCACACGCCAAGTGGCAAAAGGAGAAAGTGTTCTGCTTGCTTTGTTTCTGTTGATGCAGTGCCAAAGTGCATTTAGAACTTTGCACAAACATAATAGGGAGAGGGGAAGTGATGAAGGACCATATTAAAAATCTAATGATCATTATGAAAGACCATTGGGGAAGTCTGTGGCACGCCATCTCGCTCGTGGGACAATAATTAATGCAGCACAGTTGTTTGAATTTTAAAATCACAAGAGTGGGAATTTGAAAGTAGCTTAACTCAGAACACTTCCTCAAATACTGTACTTGAAAGCATGAAAAAACAAAGATCCTACTTGAATTATTTGTGCATGGAGAGGCTGATGTTTGTAGAAGGACAGTGAACTTGTCCTTTTTCGCAGTTTGGAAACTAACAAAGGCACCCTTGTTTGAGTACGTGGAGGAGGCAGTAGTGAGTCGCCATTGCAGGGCCACTGAATTTTTCTTGCAGACCCACCTCTGCAATGTTTTCTTCCAGGAGATGGAAACTTGCACTTGAACGTCACGGCGGAGTCCTATAGCCATTCACTGCTGGATGCCATTGAGCCGTTCGTGTATGAGTGGACTGCAAGATACAGTGGCAGTATCAGTGCAGAGCACGGACTGGGCTTCAAGAAAAAGCAGTTCATTCAGTACAGCAAACCCGACGAGGCAGTCTTTCTAATGCAGCGTTTCAAAGCCATGTTAGACCCCAAGGGGATCCTCAATCCCTACAAGACGCTGCCCTCCGGTTCCTGAGAGCAGCGTGCACTGAGAAGCGAGCAGACACCGTCACGCGAGGATGGCACCTCCAGCTCGGTAACTGCACTTTAGCCATAAACAAATGGATGGATCAAGCAAGCACGTGGGATGCTCCTTCTTGTATTTCTTCAGTGTAATGGGACAAGTAAAGGAACGTGGTTCCTCTTTTCAGGGGTGCCTGCTCTTTTTGAAGACACATGTTATTGCTTTTGACCACATGGGTTTCCTATTTACTCTGAACGCTGAAATCCAGCATGCAGATATTGTGTGTGGATATTCCAGCCTCTTTCCCCTTCGTTTGCTCTGATTTATTAGCGAAGTGACACCAGCCAGAGGAGGCATTTTCGCACTTGGGGTGTGCAGGTGAAGCATCAGAGGCACAAAAGAACCTGTGGATGCTATACCACCATCTCCAAGTGAAAGTATCGCTCTTCCTAGCGTGATCCAATACGCCTGTCCAAAAGCCCACAACAGCATCAGGTTATGGCCTCTTCAGTGATGCCACCTGCAGGCTGTCCCCCATAGGCATCAGTGTTGTCCCATGTACAGCACACAGGTGTAGGTTTGCAGGCCTGTAAGGACGGGCCAGAGAAGAGAGGGAGCCCAGAGACCTAACTTCTGGGTAGTGTCGACTGGAGGGGAAATGCCCCAACACCCAGGCTGAGGGAAGGCATCCCAGGACGTCTGTCTGACAGGGTCAGGCATTAGTTCCTGCTTCCTTGTCTTCCAGTCTGTCCTTGACAGCAAGTCCTCATTTGCTCTCGCAGAGGGCAAGAGCCATTATCTTAATGATTTACAGAAATATGTAAAACCTGTATCCCTCCCAACGGGCAAACTAGATTAGGCTGTGTACAGATAATGACAGTGATGATAAAATTGTCCAGAGTTTTCTCTGCATCGTGCGCATGGCACATTAAGGTGAAAGAGATTTCTGTGCATACCAGTATAGTATATTTTCCCAAGGTGCCCCCTTACCCTGGCAGGGTGGTTCTGAGGCTCCCCAGCCAGTGGGCAAACTGGTGCCCACATCCAGCACCCTGTTCCAGTTGGTGATGGCACAGAACAGTTCAGGAAGATGTTACCCAAAAGCAGCTTGGAAGATCTGTCAATAGTCAGGAAAATAAGAGTAGGAAAATAAAATCAGCCAGTCTGACGTTCAGGAGGATCTCTGACTGCAAAAGATGCATTAAAAAAATGGGCTTACTCAAGCAGGAGGGTAAGAGAAAGAAGGTGGTGGTGTGGGAAGGTATCAGAAGTCAGCACAAGACCCAACTGAAGAGGAGGGTGATCTTATTTTTAAAGTAGGCTGGTTTTACTCATGTTCATTCTCATCACTTTTGCATGCCCTCCAATGGGCTTGTGTCACCTGTGCTGCATGTCCATATGGTCTGGCCAGGGACACTTGTGTGTGGATAAGGGATGTTTGGACGTGTCTTTTATACCTCTTAGGAGCCACTGATTATTATGGGAAGATCCTTTTGACTCAGGGCCTTGCTTAATCTTCCACACATCCCAGGCACTGTCTCTGTTTCCTCAGTTTGAGTATTTTTTAAGTAAAGATTTTGGTAAGATTTTCACAACATCCTCCCGGACAAGTTGTCCCAAGTGTGGGGTGAGCGGGTTCACGGTGTGCTGGGTGAGGAACTGGCTGAAGGGCAGAGCTCGGAGGGTTGTGGTGAATGGGCCACATCTGGCTGGCGACCGGTCACCAGCCGTGTTCCTCAGGGCTCAGTCCTTGAACTCTAATGCTGTTCATTATTATCATCAGTGATCTGGGTGTAGGAGGTGAATGCACCGTTCGCAATTTTGCTCCCAATAGTAAGCTGGGAGTGCTGTTGACTCTGGACAGACAAGAGGCCTTGCAGAGGGATCGAGAGAGACTGAAGCATTGGGCAATCATCAGTGGCATGAAATTGAACAAGTCCAAATGCTGCATTCTGCACCTGGGACAGAGTAACACCAGGCACAAGTGTAAATTGGGAGAGAAATGGCTGGAGAGCAGCCCTGCAGAAAGGGATCCGGGGGTGCAGCTCGGTAGGAGCCAGCAGTGTGCCCGGGCAGCTGAGAGGGCAAACCCTCAGACACAGCACGGCCACCCGGCCAAGAGAGGGGATTGTCCCGCTGTGCTCAGCGTTGGTGCAGCCTCACCTCAAGCACTGTGTGCACTGTGTACGGGCCCCACCGTTCCAGAAGGGTGTGAGGGTCCTTGAATGCAGCCAGAGGAGGGGAACCAAGCTGGTGAAGGGCTGGAAGGCATGTCCTGTGAGGAGCGGCTGAGCGCGCTGGGTTTGCCTCCTTTGGAGGAAAGGCAGCTGAGGGGCAACCTCACTGCTTTCTGCAGCTTCCTGAGGAGGGGACGTGGGGAGGGAGGTGCTGAGCTCTTCTCCCAGGGACAGAATGCGTGGGAGTGGTTCAGAGCTGTGTCAGAGGAGGATCAGACTGGACAGTAAGAAGCATTTATTTAGCAGGAAGGTGGTCACACCCTGGAACAGGCTTCCTAGAGAGGTGGCAAGGCCCCAAGTCTGTCAGTGTCCGAGAGGCATTTGGCCTATGCCCTTAGTAATATGGTTTAACTTCTGGTCCGTCCTGAAGCGGACAGGTCATCAGTTGGACTAGATGATTGCTGTAGGTCCCCTCCAAGCAGGTTGTTCTATTCTAGGATGGGGTGTTTTTGGGGGTGGGGGTTTTGTTTGGTGGTTTGTTTTGTTTTGTTTTTTTCTCCAGTCTGTCTGTTTTGAGACAACAGGAGAGATTTTAATTTACAGTTTGGTGTACAAAGCCACGTTGTCCCTCTTCTCTTATCAAAGGGCAGGCTAAGCCATCTGCTAATGAGTCATCTTTTGGTCTACTCAGTGTTTGCTAGTCACATCCGTATTTGCCAATACGTGCCACTCTCTTAACCTAGGCTCTATTGTATCCGAAGGAAGCAGGTGACTGGGAAAGGCCCAGGGCTTTGCCAAAAGTAAATCATGTCACTAACCTGACCACCTTCTGCAACACAATGACATTTTCTGTCCGCTCGGGAGAGCAGTGGATGCGCTTTGCCCGGATGTCGGCGGAGCTCGACGCTGTTCCGCACAGCCTCCTCCTGGACAAGCTGGCAGGCACAGACCAGGTGGGTGGTCTGCGAGGCGGGCAGGAAACTGGCTCACGGGCTGTGCTCAGAGGGTCGTGGTCGATGGTTTTTACTCAGGTCTGCTGGTTTGGGAGGCCTCACTGGACTCTGTGAGACTAGGAAAGGTGATCGTCTCACCCACTAGCTGTCTTCTCCGTTAGCTGCTTTTCAGTGATTTCTGCTCTTCCACAGTGCAGTGAAACAGATGTTCCATCTAGAGCCTTTTCTCAGAAGAAAATAATCTTACAGCATCTTTTCCGACTGTTTTTAACCAGAACACTGCCTCTACAAGGCTGCAGGCTGTTGAATTGCATTCAGGATGATGGCTTACACGCAGCACTCTGTTGCAACACCCCTCACGATACAATTCTAAGGTCACAAGTCTCTCAACTTGGCTGCACGGATGCTTTTAACAGAAATGCCTCCATTCGTCTTGCAACCTGCAGTGCTGGTATCTAGGCCTGCCCTCTGATCTCTTCCCTTCGACTCCCTCTTTCTCTCCACTGTCAGTGCATTCCCCACCTCTCCCTTCATTCCTCAGGACCACTCAGAGAGGAGCTGATTGTCTTCTGGGGTTGAGCAGTGAACAGCACCATCATTAGCAGAGAGAAGACAGGATGTGAAACGCAGTCAGCCTATGCTGCTTGTGTATCAGGTGATGTAGAAATACAGAAAGTCCACGATGTTGTTAGAGAAGAAATTTACAGGATTTGCTTTCTGCCAAGTTAAGCTGATGCAGCTCGTTCTTTCCGGATCAGGCTGTTTTATATTCTCTGCCTTTTTCCTACACCATTCTTTCTCTTTTTTTTCCCCCAAACCACTGACCATAATTGTTTAAAATACAGGCTTTACACGTGAATGGGTCTTTTTGGGAAGCGGAACTTTCCATACTGGCTTTTTTTCAGCTACATATGTAGAGAGTGATTGGGAGGGAGTCAGTGCTGACAGACAACCTAGTGCTGTGGCCAGGGAAATTCTGGCACAGCTACATTTAGCCATCTTCTTTACACATGAAGATCCTTAAGCTCGATGTAAGTTTACCGTTTCAGCTAAACAATAGAGCACTTGCCCTGAGGGAATAGAAGGGAGGAGTTATTGTAGTGTTATTTTACAGTATCTTTCCTAGACCTTAAACACCAGTATTATCATTCTCTTTCACGTTCTCAAGGATGCTTTCAAATGTAGGTTCACTGTTGTATATAGGAGGGAGAGACAGGGTGGGTACATAAATGGGGGGGGGTGTCTGTTTTTATAAAGCATCGTTGTGGTAGGAATTTCTTGTCTAAAATTCTATTTTTTCTAGGACAGACATAAATGTTAGAACGGTGTGGATGCTCAGTGCTTTGAAGCAGTGGTCTTCTGGCACAGCGAGGAAGCACTTGGGTCTCTGTGCTGGTTTTGTCTGGGATAGGGTTAATTTTCTTCACAGTAGCTGGTTTGACGCTGTGTTTTGGATCTGTGACTGGCGTTCATAGCACAGGGATGTTGTGGCCATTGCCAAGCAGTGCTTGCACAGCGTCGAGGTCTTTTCTGCTTCTCAGCCTGTCCCACCAGTTGTGCAAGGGGTTGTGCAAGAAGCTGGGAGGGGACGCAGCTGGGACAACTGCCCCCAACTGACCTGAGGGATATCCCATGGCATATGACACTGTGCTCAGCGATCAAAGCTGAGGAAAGGAGGAGGGAGGGGGGCGTTCAGAGTTAAGGCATCTGTCTTCCCCAGTGGCTGCTAGGCGTGATGGAGCCCAGCCCTCCCGGGGATGGCTGAACGCCTGCCTGCAACGGGAAGTGGTGAATGAATTTCTTTGGCTTCGCTTGCACGCGCCGCTTTTGCCTTACCTGTTAAACTGCTTTTATCGCAACCTGCGAGTTTTTTTGCACTTTTCCCCTTCTGATTCTCCTCCCCATCCTGCTGGGCGGGGGGGGGGTGAGGGAACGGCTGCGGGGGCCGAGCTGCCCGCGGGGGCTGACCCACAGCACTCTCCCCTAAGCAAGCAGGTGCACGAAGCAGGGGCAGTGTGGAGCTAACAGTCTGTGCATCAGCTGGCTTGCCTTCGCTGCTTCCAGTCTCAGAGCAGCCCAGCCCCACGTGAAGCCAAGTATTTCTTCACAGCACCATATTTTTCTGCGTAACCAAACCTGACAATTCGTGTACGACACCCCAGCAGAGATCAATGAATCAATTGTAAAAGTGTAAAAAATGGTCTCTTGTGATTCGTGGGCTCTACCAGCTTCTGAGCAAGAAATCGCGCAGCTGACGTCTGTAATGTAACAGGAGAAAGAAGTCTATTAAACGTGACCCCCCCTGCCAGCAGCAGCTGACACTGTGCCAAGAGTAACCTTAGAAATTCTACATAAAACAGCACATTGGCTCATGTTCTGCCAAGAAACGCAAGGAAAGCAACCTAATACCTTGCTAATCTCAGAATCTTGATAAGCACCGGAGTTGTGGCTGGCCTGAAGAAGCTGTGATTTAAAAAGAAATGCTGTCTGTTTGGGCACTCTGAAGACCTAGCAACGGAGGTGAAGGATACCAGAATGCTGAGGACTTGTCTCATGGTGTGGCAGGTTGGTCCACCAGCACGCAAGGTTTAGAAAGGTGGCACCATGGGGTGGGGAAGGAAAGGGGACTGTGTCAGGAGGTGCATGGGAAGCAGCATGGCCGTAAAAACCCAAAAGCAACAGCTTAATCCCCCGCTTCAGGCTGGGAGATGTGAGTAACCTTTTTGTTGCCCGAATGAGGAAAGCATCGACTTCATCCCCAGCATGGGGAGCGGGGAGATTACCCCACCTCCAGATTTGCAGGACAAATCCTGCTCTCCCAGGGCAATTTGCAGCCAATCAAACCCAGTTTGTGAAGTGCTGACATACAGCAGCCTTAGTGGAATCTCAAATTCCTGTGTCATGCAAGTTGTGATAGTTGTTACTAATACCAGAAATTCACTTCGTAGACAAAGCATAAAATAACAACCGTTTAGAGGCAGGAGCTCTCTCTCCAGAGCTTAAATACAGCAAAGTCTCTAAGCTCTTAACCTCCAGCTGCAATAATTGCATTTTTACTGGGGAAGGGTTTGAAGTCTAGATGTTTTAAGGAGAATTTCCAGTAGGTGAACAGCATTCCTGTTTTGCTGTTGTCCCTAATTTCCTGTTGCCAGATGTGTCCGACAGAATTATAGTCCTAAACTACCAAGCCAGAAGTGGAGGAAAGGCACGATGGGTGCTGACCCCCCCCGCCCCTCCCTCCTGCAGCCGGGGGAGACGGGGGTCCCCACTGAGGAGCCCCTGCTAAATCCTTACTTCCCTGCAAAACTGTTGCAAACCTCATCTCCTGAGGCAGCTCTTTGTACCTGCGTTAATGTCATGCCATACTAGTGCTTTTCATGGCTTATTAATTAACTTCCACCCACCCCTGGGAACACCTAGCCACTCCCTTTGTCCTCACCTATCCCAGCCATTTATAGCAGCGATGGGATGCTAGAAATAGAGACGCGTACACTAAGAGCTGGAGGAGCCTGTAGACGAAAGGAGTATTGGAGTCGATTTGCAAAGGAGATATTTTCTAGCTTGCAGCAGTGAGGCAGCATGAAAAGCCCTGGGTGCACTTCAAGGTAAGGGGAGAGGGAGGTGAAGGCTATGGGTGCAGAATGAAAACACGGTTTGTAGAAAGGTCTAGTTCAGCTAATCCCTGTAAGTTGTTAATAACCTATAGAGTTAGTTAGTTTGCTCCAGGGTTGAGATTAATTTCGCCGTGAATGTTTCTTTCCTGTATTCCAGGTCTTTTAATTTGAAAGAACCTTATTAGCTTGACACAGAGGTCTGTTATTTTCGGCTTAAGCCAAATGAACAAGAAGGTTGTCTCAAGCCTTAAAGCATCCGTAGTGGCATCTCCAAATGCGACCTGAGAGGTAGTTTTCCGTGTTTTCTTCCCGGCTGGGAGATGGCACGGCGCAGGTCAGAAAGGTGAGTCGAACCTCCAGTGCCAGCCCTGCTGCCAGCTCTTAAGTTTTTGGCTTCTTAGGAGAATTTTGTGTCCTATCACTCAGCTCCCAAGTGCTTCCTGAAAGGGCTCCCAGGCTGGTTGCATGTCTGTCGCGCTTAGGTAACTTTTGTGTGACATTCAAATTGCAGCTTTGTCTCTTGAACTCTGCTTTGCCAAAGACTGTTAATGGGGCAAAAAAATGAGATGGTGGCTCTGGTCGTACCCTGCAACTCTCAGCTATGTCGGGCTTCACGCACCCCAGGTGAAATGCTTCCTTGTCGTGCGGGGAAGGAAGGAATTGCTGCAGCCATGATCCTGTGCGTCATGCCCTCCACGCTCCCATTGATACGCCGGGTGGTTACGAAATCCCTCTGCTTACGGCTGTAACTGTTCATATAAAAGATCAGCTTTGTCTTCTCTAGTGCCACGCGCGTGTCCGGTTCACCTTCAGCCCATGCAGTAAAAGCTCTCGGGCGAGTGGGACTTGTCTTTCCTGAAGGGATGGAAGGATGGGGGGATATTTTAGCCCACGTTGAATATGGTATCTGTTGGCCCAACGCACAGAGGTTTAGAAGTGGCTTGGTCGGAGACTTGCAGTCCTGGGGCGAAAGAGGGGGGAATGTGTGGCAGCAAGGGAACAGGCTTTGAGAGCGGCGCTGGCGCTCGCAGAGGTGTGGTGGGTGCGGTGAAAGGCCGTTTGCAGGACGTGCTGAAGGCGGTGACAACCCCTGCGAGGGCAGCTGCAGGTGGCCAAGGCCCAGAGGCCGATGGGGACAGGACCCCCCCTGCAGTGATCGGGCGCAGGGCTCGTGCCCTGCATACCTGCAACGCCCCCCTCCTCTCCTCTTCCCCCCCCCCCCCCCCCCCCGGTCTCCGTTTTCCTGCTCTCCTCCCTCCCTGGGGATCACCTCAATCCCTGCCCTTGGCCCTTCCCCTGAGCACCTCCATCGCTCACCTTTGCCGGGCCGAGGAGCAGCGGGGTGAAAGTGGCTGCAGTCCCGTCCCCACTCCCGGAGCTGGAAGGCGGATATCTTTCCATTCATACATCCCCGTGCAGGGGAACAAGCACCGTGCCACAAGGTAGCTTTGTGTGACACCCCCGGGGACAAGAAGCCCATCAATTCTGCACGTGGACTCTGGCACCTCCGGGGCCTAGATGCCAAAGAAATCACTCACTCTTGCTCCTTAAACCTGACCATTCCAGGAAGCTGCCGTGGTTTTGGCAAGCCCAGTGTGGGTTGGGCAGCCGCCACTCGCAGCGACAGCGTGGACATCGCTCCCCTGCGCATTGCTGTTGTCTTCAGGACGGTGCCAGGAGGAGCAGGGTGAGCCCTTCACAGCCCCTCGGGGCTCGCTGGTGGCACTTTCGTGCCTGTGACTTGCCCGCAGGGCACGTTTGGCACTGCAACACCAGTCCCTTGTGCTGCACCAGCAACACTTCGGGGCCTCACGTGCCTAGATAATCCGGACCATTATCCCTCCCTGTGTCTCCAGGTGAAAAAGCCAGCTGTTGCTTGGGGCTTTCGAAGCACATCTGGACAAAATGGGTCTGCTGGGAGCATCCAGTTACACTGGAGATGGACTTGGTGTGCTGCACGTGTTGGAAGATTTGGAGACAGGACGGCACTATGTAATCTCTTATTAAAGTAAACAACTATTAAAATAGCACAGGATGCCTTGAGATGATAAGATGCAGAGGACTACAGAGCATGTCTTGCAGTAGGAGGGACTGGTAATCTTTCTGGAGCATACTGTATTCCTGATCTATCTCCAGGAGTGTCGGTGTATGCTGATTTGTTTGCCCCATGAAACATCAATCCGAGTTGCCGTTTTGGGGACACCACCCATACAAACGTGTGGAACATTATCACACGCATTAAACTCTGCAGAAGAGGTGCAGAAGAAGGACGTTGCTTAGGAAAGAACTTCCAGGCGGGCAGGGTGGTGTGTTTTGGAAAACCATCGCACCAACGTCGGCTCCAGTTTAAATGAAAGACCAAGAAAATAGGCAGGGGCTGCATTTCACAGATGTGAGCCTGCTCTCTGCCTGTGGGCCCTTCTGCATTTCTTCTCCCGTCTCATCTCTGCTTACGTAGAGTGATCGAAGGAAAGGGGGATTGTCTCACCCCTCTCCCCCCTAACAGGCCTGGGACCAAGAAATTAAGAAATACTGATGAAAGACTGCCTATAGCTGTGTCTTGAAACTCTTCGTGCAGGAGCTGTGCTGCAAATTGTGATCAGAGGTTGGTACCAGCTCTGGCTGAGGGTCTTCCCTGGCTTTGGGAAGGGCTCTTCTGCCTGCGGATTTCCCACTTCAGCTGGGGTGCCCTTGGACGAGGAAGGCACTCTCGTGCAAAGCAAAGTTTGAAGCAAAAGCGGCTTCGGGCAGGTTTGCACGGTGGGCAAAGTCAAACGCTTTTCTGCAGTGCCATCAGCCTGTCGTGACATTGCCACTTGTCTCTGCTCTTCCGCTGTGTTTACATTCAGTTCCTGGCTCCCCCATCAGAGCTAGCGCAGGTGACTGATGGCTGTGTTTTGACTTGCACCCATCCATCCTCTCTCCAGTTTCCCGTGGCTGGATCCGGGCTGTCGTGGCCCAGCTTATACTGTGGCCGGACAGCGGGAGGCTGTAGGCCATGCCAGATAAAGCTGGTGGTCGCTCTCTTGCAAGGCCAAACGGAAGGAGTGTCTTCCACATGGTACAAGCAGGAGGCTGGGAAAGCCACTGCCCTCTGCAGCAGGACCTGGTGTGAGGAGCCCTTGGCCAGAGGGGCAGTAGAAAGGACCACCAGGTCCAGCCCGCAGCAAGCCATGTGCCCCCACTGACCCTCAGACTGGGGAGGCTTGGAGCCTGCCTTGCTTGCTTGGGAGAGTGGGAACCACAAGTGTGGCCTTTCCGTGCTGTAAATGGGACTGTATCTTCTCAAAACGACTTGAAAGCCCAAGCCAGCTCTGCTGCGTTTTGGAAACGGCGGCTGGAAACGTGGAATTCACACTGAGTTAAAAAAGCTTTTAGGATCAGAGAAGTCAAATCAAGCTTGGTAATGAAAAGTTTCTTTTTGGTGGGCATCAGACCTTCAAAATATCATGTGCGTGTCCCACTGACACGGCAGCTGCCTAATTAGTGCTGGAAAAGACTCACCCCTTACCATTATCCAGGCAAAACAGGGGTAGATGAGGTGCTTGGTCCAAAAGGCTGCCTCTCAGCTCAGGCAGTTTAAAGTCTGGCCAAGGTGAGAAGAACTGATGAAAAGAAGACGTGGGTGAGGCTGAGCACAAGAGCTGGGCTGGGAGGAGGAACTGTGGCAGCGGGGATGCAGTCCTCTTGTTTGAAAGGAGGGTGTGATTAGTCCATTACAGGTGCTGTTGGGTTATTAATCGCCTTTTGTATTGAAAATTTTCAGTTATATTGAAAAAAAAAAAAAATCCGTTTAGTGTTTCTTTGAGATTCCCATCTTCTGGAGTGATACAATTACAGGAGCCACTCAAATTTCTTACAAAGGAAATCCTTACGCCCCTACAAAGGGCTCATTTTTTAGTGAGTACACTAGAAGTTTGAATAGTGAATAAGCTCTAAAGCCCAAGGAAAAAAAAAAAAAGACCAAACCCAAACAAAAACCAAAACCAAACAAAAAAAAAAAAACAAAACAAAACAAGCAAAATAAAAGGCAGCAGAGCAGAGTGGGAGGCTGTTGGAAGAGCTTGGGCTCTGCCCAAAATAGGCTGTGTCTTGCCAAAGGCCAGAGTTTAGGAGAGTGATAGTGCAAGTGCGATTTCTCACTGTTCTGCCTCTAGTGCCAGAGCTGCTGACAAAGCTGGGGGAGCCAAAGGTGGCTGGCACCAAGGAGACATAAAATTGGGCTCCTGGTGATAAAAAATCCCCAGGGCAATAGGCAAAGTTTGGCAGTTCATGTTTGGGGAAGGACTATCAGATAAAAATCCACTGAAACTCTTTCTTGCTTGCTCTCTTTTCAGGCAATGTCTCATTTTCAGCCTTTGCCTGGGACTCATGTTCCTGTCGGGATTCTTCCATATGAAGAATAAAATGTATGTGTAAGTGAAGTGAAGTGTAAGGTTGCATGACTTTGTCTGCCCAGGGCAGTAAGGATCTGACCTGTGACACTTGATTTAACTCTCATGAGGTTTAGGCTGATACTGGAAGGGCAGGGGCCCAAAGTTAGGTCCTAGATCCACATTTGGGCAGGCAAGGGATTAAGTTAACCAGAGTGCAGCTCTTTGGGGCAAAATCGTATGGAAGGAGGGGATGAAGCTGAAGTTTTGGGGTAAGTGAGGACCTGGAGAAGCAGACATCTACACCTGAAGGATGGGGCTTGCTTGGGTGGGTGCCTTGTACCAGAGGCGGGTGCGGTATCAGAAGGAGAACGTGCTCGGGTTTGGCTTTGCCAGGTCTCAGAGGCTGGGTGCAGCACTGGAGGGGCTGTTTCTCCCAGCTGTTGCCTTCCTGCAGAATCTCGAAGAACCGTAAGGAGCTGATACTTCCCAGGCCTTGCCACGCCAAGACTAACGTCATGTTCCTCAAGACTCACAAGACAGCCAGCAGCACCGTCCTGAACATCATGTTCAGGTTTGTGGAGAGGTACAACCTCACCGTTGCCCTCCCAGCTGACCAGCTCGTCCACCTGGGCTACCCAAAGACCTTCCTGGCCCACTTTGTGGAGGAATTTCAAGCCATAGGACAAAACTACAACATCATGTGCAACCACCTGCGGTTTAACCCCTTGGAGGTAAGAAAGAGCTGCGACACCTGCGGAGAAACTGGTTGAACAAGCGGTGCCTCTAGACTAACGGCCTCTCTTCTTCCTCCCCGCAAACAGGTACAAAAGGTGATGGCAGCAAACACCTTCTACTTCTCCATCCTGAGGAATCCCATTCCCCTGCTGGAGTCTTCCTACATCTACTACAAGGACACTGTCCCTGCCTTCAGGATCTCCAAGAACGTGAATGAGTACCTGGCATCACCCTTGAAGTATTACCATCCAGAGAATTACAAGCAAAACATCTACGCCAGAAATATCATGTGGTTTGACTTTGGCTATGATAACAATGCAGAGGACAACGAAGAGTACATCCAGGCGGTCTTGAAGGAGATTGAACAAAACTTCCATCTGATCTTGATAGCAGACTACTTTGATGAATCCATGATCCTCTTGAAGCACTCTTTGTGCTGGGATCTGGATGACGTGATTTACTTTAAGCTGAATTCCAGAAGCCAGGACACCGTCCAGACCTTGACTCCAGAAAGCAAGGAACGGATAAAAGCGTGGTGCTCGCTGGACTGGAAGCTCTACCTGCACTTCAACCAGAGCTTCTGGAGGAAAATTGATGAGACCGTAGGGCTCAAGTTGCTGGAGAAGGAGGTGAATCTCCTGCGAACGAGACAGAAGGAGCTCATGGAGACCTGTCTCTTGGACCAGGCGGCAGTGGGAAAGGATCACATCAAGAACAAAGCTCTCCTGCCTTTCCAGTCAGGGTCTGCAAATATCCTTGGGTACAACCTCAAACAAGACTTAGACAACAGGACTCTGAGAACCTGCCAGAAAATGGTTATGCCAGAGCTCCAGTACACGTCCTATCTGTACGCTCTTCAACACCCGCACAAGAAGAGGAAGCGGTTGGGCTTGCCCTTGCTGTGGACCAGTTCCCAGGAGAAGGTGCAGCTCCCAACTCCCAACTAGGACCCGTGCTAACCCGCCGCGCCGCATCACCCCAGGGCTGGCGTGTGACTGGCCTGCAGGACTCGCGTATGGGGGGGGGGGGGAGGAAGAGTGGGGGCTCTGTTCGGGGCCACCCGGCTGGTGGTGGGTCCCTTTGTGGGGACCTTGAGCCAAAGGTTCTGCGTTGGCCAGGTCCTGTGTGATCCCTCCTCCTGCTCTCAGGCAGGGGGACAGCGCTGGGCAGGCTTTCAGCTGGCTTCGACCTTCCTGCCTCTTAATCATTAATCACGAGCTTAATCATTTTGTTTGCATTTGACTTTATTTAATAGCTGTCATTACGTCCGGGCTGGTCACAGCTCACAGAGCAAGTCTCGGCGTTTAGGGGGGAAAAAAGGGGGAGGGAAACAAGGAGGAGAGCGTGACAAGGGGACGCAGCGCTTGAAGGAGTGGGAGAGGCTCTGGGTCTTCCGTCCAGCAGCGTCTGAGCTCAGCACCATCCAACCACCGCGCGGTGCCAGGGCTGCTTTTGGGCTGGGAGTCCCGAGCATCGTTGCCCAAAGCTGGGTGTGCTGGCTGGCAGCCTTTGCCAGCTGGCACCTGCGCTGTCCCTCTCGTGTGTCATGAGATGTCGGGGGGGGGGGGGGGCCTCTGCACCACCTGGGACAGGTCGGCGCTCTCCTGGGAGGGCCCGTTTTTGCGATTTCACCCCCTCTCTCTTGGGTGAGGGGCCCTGGACATGGGTGGTCCCTTGGGCTCAGCATCCCTGAAGCCTTTTATCAGCAGAGACTTTGTTGCCTGCCCCCCCCCCCCCATTGCTGTGTTGCCCAAGCTCTCCAATTAGGAGAGGGGTGGAGGGAGGCATGGCCGTTGCACGTTTAGGGCACGACCTTGTTATTGGAGGAGGTAATTAAACGTGCCAGGATCGTTTTTGCTCGTTAGCCACCTCCCTGCTGGGGCGCTGGCGCTGGGAAGGTTGGTGGGGAGGGCGGCAGTGCCCAGCCCCGACGCCTTCGGCCTCACTGCCGTTAATGATTGCCCAGCGCCAGGTTGCCGGCCCACCTGCCGTGGCCGGTGGTGCAAGGTGTCAAAGCTTAGCCAGCCTCGCCTCCCGCTCAGCCGGGCGGCCGGGTCCCGGCTTGCTGGGCTTGTGGAAGCAGGAGAGGTGCTGTCAGAGGCTGCGGGGGGGGAGAGAGGGGCGAGAAGTGGAGCTGGGATTTCCCTCGGCTGAGTTTAAGCCCAGCAGGTCGCCAAGCGAAGGTGGCTGGGGTGAGGGTGAACCTCCTGCACTCCCCTGCAGCCCATGGGGAGCAACAGCACCTTCCCAGTTTTCTGCTCCAGCAGCCCTAGCTAAAATTAACCAGGTTTAGGAGGCGTTTGTAACTAGCTGGGGCAGAGATAGCAGCCGCCCGTGTTCAGCCTGGGCAATCCCTGGCAGCCTTTCCCAGCCATTTCTGCAGCCTGAGCCTGAGCTTTCACCTTGGAGCTTCTGATCCGTGACTTGCTGTATGAATTTTGCCAAGCCCCTTTAGCTAAACTGATGCCAGGGCATAAAATCTAGGCATAAAAAAAAAAAAAAAAAAAAAAAAATTTCTTGACAGCTGAACAGCAGGTGGGGGGTCCCGGGAAGGCTGCGACCCCCTGGACCGCAGCGCACGGGCTGGGGAGCTCACGGGTGGGGTGGACCGTGGGGAAGGTGGGTTGCAGCACCTGGGCGGGGAGGTCTGGCCTCTCCCACCCTGGGGGAGGAAGGGAAACTGAGGCAGGCGATGCAGGCACCCCACCCGTGCTCCCTTCGCATCCCCCCCCTCCCCCCCCCCCCCCCCAGGGTTTCTGAACAAGGTGGCTCAGCAGGCACAGGGCCCCCCCGGCTCTGCCCGGCCTGATAATGGTGCCTTTGTGCCGCCCGGCTGCCACTGCTGACTCAGGGCTTTTTCCCGGTCACCGCCGCTGCGGGGGCCCCGTGACCCATCGGGGGGGGGGGGGACCCCGCGAGGGGCAGGCACTGCAGGCAGCCCCGGGGCTGCGGGAGCCGCCGTTCCCCCGCGATGAGGGCGAGGGACGGAGGGGACCCCCCCCCCCAGCCTGAGCAGGACCCGGTGAGTTGCCTTCGCTTTCTCCACGGGGGGGTTTGGAGCAGCAAAAGCTCCTCATTAAAACGCAGGTGAAAGTCGCCCTCGGCTGCTGGGGTGCCCACCTCTCCCTGCGGTGATAACCTGGGACGTGGAGGGACACGGCCTGGGGACAGCTGATGGTGGCAGCACGCCTGCTGTCCCCAAAGGAAAGGCACTTGGAGGGGACGGGGTGGGGGGGGGCCACTTGCACCCCACTGCCGCAGGCACAGCCCGGCCGGGGACCCCAGGTTTCCACCACAGGGGAGGAGGAAACAAGGAGCTGGCTGGGTCCCCCGTGCTGGAGGTGCCAGAAATACAGGACAAAACACCCCCCAGCCCCCTTGCAAGGAGCCTGGGCTGGTCCCAGGGTCTTGGCCAGGCCGGCTCTGGTCCCCCCCCACCGCCTGCTCGGCGACGGGAGTGGGGAACCACGGGTCTCACCCTGCCTTTCGCTGTCCGGCCTCCACTTGCCAGAAACGCCTTTTGAAGAGCAGCTGGAAGCTCAGTTTCATTCTATTCCCTTTCATTTTGGGGCAGCTCAGGTCAGCTTCTTCAGCCGTCCCGAAAACCCCTGTTCCCGCTGCCGAGCGGCAGCGACTTGCCGCTGCGGGCAGCCGGGGTTCAGCCCCTCTCGACCCCAACCCTGCCCGTAGCGACCCACCCTCCAGCAGCTCCCCGGGGGGGGGGGGGGGGGGGGGGATGGGGAGGAAGGCTCCCCAAAACCATACCCAAACCCACCAAGCGAAACCCCAAACCCCTCCAAGGGCAGCCTGCACCCCCAGCCGTCCCCGTTCCCCCCCCCCCACCACCACCACCTCCATCAACCCAACCGGGGTGGCGGTGGCTGGGGGGGGGGCTGCATCTTCCCGCCGCAGGCGCCATGGGCTCCCGGCACTTCCCGGCCCGCACCGTGCTCTTCGAGAAGGAGCCCGCCGGCGTCACGTACCGCGTGCCCGCCCTGCTCTACCTGCCCCGCGCGGCCAAGCTGCTGGCCTTCGCGGAGGAGCGGCTGAGCACCGCCGACGCCCACGCCAACCTGCTGGCGCTGCGCCGCGGCACCGTCTACGGGAGCTACGTGGAGGTGGGTGGGACGGGGGAACGCGCCGTGCTGGGGGGGGGCGCGCGTGGAGCTGCTGAGCTCCCAAGGGCACCTGCGTGGGGAAGGGAGGGTGGGTCGGGGGAAGTGAGGTGGGCCTCACCCCCCCCCCACCCCTCCTTCTCCTCCTCCCCGGGCAGTGGGAAGACATGCGGGTGCTGGAGACTGCCACGCTGCAGCACCACCGGTCCATGAACCCCTGCCCGCTCTATGACGAGTTCACCGGCACCCTCTTCCTTTTTTTCATCACGGTGCCGGGCAGGACGCCCGAAGCCTACCAGCTAGTCACTGGCCAAAACGTCACCCGCCTCTGCTGCGTCACCAGTGACGACCAGGGCCTGAGTTGGAGCACGGCCACAGACTTGACGCAGCAGGTCATCGGCGGGGCCATCAAAGGTAGCCCACTGGAGAAGGGGGGGAGGAGGAGGGAGGACAGCCAGCAAGAGGGCAACCGTGGGTTTTGGGCGCCTGGAGCCGCTCGTGGTGGGGCTGGGGTTGGCCTCAGGGTAGGAAGCCCACAAGAGTCAGAGAGAGATGGGGTGGAAGAGGACCTCGAGCAGAGTGGGCGAGGGGATGGGGGGAGGGAGTGTATTGCTTGCACGGGGGGAAAAGAAGATGAAGAGGCCCTGTAGCTATGGGTAGGGCTGTGCATGAGGACAACCAGCCAGCACTGGGCTCTGCCGCCCTCTTGTACCACCAGCTTGCTTGGCTAGGCTGGGGAGGGGGATGCTCCGGAGACCCTTCCACGCTGGGCATGTCAGGGGCCAGCACGGAGGCTGCTCTTCCACCCCCTTCCCATCTTGGCTCCCCAGACTGGGCGACGTTTGCGCTGGGCCCCGGGCACGGGATCCAGCTGCGGTCCGGGCGGCTGCTGGTACCCGCCTACAGCTACCACATCGACCGCAAGGAGTGCTTCGGGCAGCTCTGCAAGACCACCCCTCACTCCTTCGCCTTCTACAGCGACGACCACGGCCGGGGCTGGCGCTTCGGGGAGTTCATCCCCAACCTGCAGACGGGCGAGTGCCAGCTGGTCTCCGTGGACGAGGAGGACGGCTCCAACGTCCTCTACTGCAACGCCCGCAGCCCCTTGGGCTTCAGGGTCCAGGCGCTGAGCACGGACGACGGGGCCGTCTTCCACGGGGGGCAGTTGGTCCAACGGCTGGTCGAGCCCCCCCATGGCTGTCACGGCAGTGTCATCGGCTTCCCGGCGCCTTTCGTGTATGGCCCTGCCGTGCCTGGGGGCCCCGTGGTGCCCCTTTGGGGCTCGGCTCGCCGGCTGCTCCCTGGGATGCTCCCAGGGTTTCGGTACCCGCCCTCCGGGCAGGCAGCGGGTGATGAGCTGCCCGCCCCGGCCACCAGCAGCCACCGAGAGCCGGCTGAGCCCCCAACCCCGGAGCGTCACAGCCGCCCCCACGGCATCACCTCAGCTCGAGGGGACCCTGTGGCAACCCCCGGCCCTGCTGCCTTCTTCCAAGCGCCGACGTGGGTCCTCTACTCCCACCCCACCAGCTCCATGTCACGGGTCAACATGGGGGTTCACCTGAGCACTTTCCCCAGGGACGCGGAGAGCTGGACCGAGCCATGGGTCATCTACGAGGGCCCGAGCGCTTACTCGGACCTGGCTTACGTGGAGCTGCCCTGCCACGAGGCCTCCATCGCTGGTGGCCCGGCCGTCGCTTTTGCCTGCCTCTACGAGAACGGGACGCAGTCGCCCTACGAGCAGATCTCCTTCAGCATGTTCACGCTGCGCGACGTGCTCCAGAACATCCCCCTGACAGCTCCCCAGCGGGACGGCGGCTCCCGGTGCCGCAGGAAGAGGGGGCGAAGGAGCTGCTGCCTCTCCTAGCGCCCCCCCCTTGCTCCCCCCGGTCCCCCAGCTCCAAACCTCGGGGCACCAACCCGGAGCCCAGCGCACCGGGATGCTCACAGCCCGGGGTCCTGCCGCCGGCCAGATGACACCGAAGACATGCGCTACCGTCCCCAAACTGGGTTTTATCTCGTTTTTCTTGCTACTTTTTTAATTATATCGTTGGTTGGGCATGAAGGCTTGTGCCACCAGCCCATGTGCCTTTCCAAGCACATGAGCCGCCCCAGGAAATACATAATGGGGGGGGGGGGGGGGGGGGCAACACAGCAGTGTAGGGGAGAAGGCGATCGCGGGCACCTTGTGCCACCCGCGTGTGCCAGGTGCTAGATCAGGGGGACACGATGCTCTGGCTGTGCCAAACCTGGTCCTGCCACCCTGACCCGAGGGTTTTCCTCCCATGGTCATAATTATTTACGTTCCTTTTTTAGTTGCTTCTTTTTAATGAGCCTGTTTGCTTGAGCCAATTCCTCTTTGTCTCAGCGGTCTCTCCGGAATCGCTGTGCTGGTTTTGGCTTGGGGTAGAGTTAAATTTCTTCATAGTAGCTAGTACAGGGCTGTGTTTTGGATTTGTGCTGAAAACAGCGCTGATAACACAGGGACGTTTTAGTTGCTGCTGAGCAGCTCTTGCTTACACGGAGTCAAGGCCTTTTCTGCCTTCCCAGCGAGTGGCTGGGGGAGCACAAGAGGTCAGGAGGGGACACAGCCGGGACCCCAACTGACCAAAGGGATATTCCAGACCTTACGATGTCACGCTCAGCGATAACACTCAGAGGAAGGTTGGCTGAGGGCTGCTGCTCGGGGACTGGCTGGGCATGGGGTCAGTTGGTGGCGAGCAACTGTTTTCATTTGCATCACTTGTCTTTCTTGGGTTTTATTTCTCTCAGTTGTTTTCTGTTTCTTTGCAATTTCTTTTAGTGTATTTCATTGTTTCAATTATTAAATTGTCCTTATCTCAAACCACGCATTGTCTCACTGTTACCCCTCCAGTTCTCTTCCCTCCATCCTGCCGGGTGGGAGGGTGAGCAAACAGCTGCGTGGTGCTTAGTTGCCAGCTGGGGTTAAACCACAACAATCGCCCAGTTACTGTTTAATCTAGCTGATTGCTTCTTTTTAAAAGCTGCCATGGGCACTGCTGCTTTCCTCTGAACCTTATCAGTTCGGGGCAAACATCCTCCCGGCACAAGCAGGTTCGGGTCTGTACCCACGCCTGGTCCCTGTAAGGTTTCAGGGGACGAGGGCAGGGGGATGGGGGATGCGCTGAAGCCGGTGACACCCCCTGCGAGTGCAGCGGCGGGTGGCGCGATGGGGTCCAGGGCCGGTGGGGGTGGGCGCCTGCTCCTGACATTTCTGCGTGCACGGGGGGGGGGGTGTGTGTGTGTATGGGTGGCCTTGGCAGGTGGAGGAGGGGAGGGGGGGGCTACACCCCAATTCCAGCACTGCGTCCCCCGGCACGGCTCCATCCAAGTCCCCCAGCCCCAGCCGGAGCCCAGCTCGGCTCCTCCAGCCTCCTTCACCTCTCCTGCCCCACGCGGGGGACAAACACCGGCACGGGCTGCCCCAAACACGGATTGAGCAACGAAAACAAGTTCGTGTTCCAGCTCTTATCTCTGCGAATACCACCACGTCACCTTTTGCACCGGGGCAGGCGGAGGCCGGCGGGGAGCAGCCGGGGAAGCCGTTGGGCTCGTGCTGGGGTGCCGGGAGCCAGGGCCTCACCTCCAGTGCTCACCGGGCTGGTTTCCAACCCCCGGGAGGAGGAAGAGGTATCGCCTGGGCAGAGGGCACTGCACGGAGGCAGCCCTTGGCACGCTAACCCCGCGCACGTTGCTTTGGCACCTCCTGTGGGCCGGGGTGTCTGTCCCCCATGGGGGACCCTCTCTGTCCTGCACGGGGGTCTTGCATCGGGCCGGTATCACAGTCCCCACCACAGCATTTGCCACCAGCCAAGGGACACCCAGGGACGATACCTCCTCCGCGTGCCAGCCTCCTGGCACCGTCGCAGACCTCTACTTCCCCTCGCAGAAGCCGCAGAGGCACCCGAGGCAGCCGTTGAGGATCTGGAGGGAGGCCAGCACCATCTCGGCAGCGCTGACGAACAGCAGGAGGAAGAAGAAGACAATGTTCCAGACCACGATACCCTCCGGCTCCAGGCAGGTGCTCCAGGTGCGACGGTCGTACAGGTAGTTCTCTGCCCTGTGTGATGGGGAGAGAAGGAGATGCGAGATGCTGCCCTGCAGCAGGTCAGGGATCGCGCTGCTTTCCACCGCGGAGGTGTGCCCCAAGCTCCCTGTCCTTCATCCTGAGGATGAGCTGGGTCAGCGGGGTGGCGGAAGCACCACACAGAAAATCACGGAAGGTGAAGACCTCTTGAACTCTTGCATCACAACCAGCAAGCCCACCCACCATAAATAACCCCGACTTAATTAGCAACAAGCTGACGAGGTGACACCGGTGACTCAACCCCGCTGCCTCACCTGGTGTCAGGCTCTTGGCCACCAGCGTCCAGGAAGGGGTAGCCCCAGAGGGTGCCAGGCCCGTGGCCGTGCTGGGAGGCGTTGTAGAAGCAGAGGGGTCCGTTGGTCAAACCCACCCCAGAGAGGATGAAGCAGGCGGCAGCGCCCAGGAGCGCCAGCTTGGAGAGCACGGCAGAGATGAAAGCCTGTGGGCAGCGCGCAGGGAGGGGGACACCGAAAGTCAGGCGGGCTCCGTAGCGCAGCTGCACGTTATCGGTGGAGCTTGGTAAGGGGGAAAACCCCCCCCCCCTTCTCCCCAAGGGCCTCCAATCTCAGGGAGCTGAGGATGGAGCTGTCGCTGGGTTGTTTTGAGCTGGGCGGGAGTGGGACAGGCAGAGTCTGGTGGGGCAGAGCCCACGCCAGCACCCGTAGGAATCCCTGTCCTCTGGGGAGGATGCGTCCCGCCACGGGAGAGGGGCCACCCACCACATCCCACCCTGTGCTGCTTGGGACTGCTTTGGCACGGGGGGGGGCCCGGTGCTGCCTTACGTTGCGACGGGTGCCGCAGTCCGAGCAGCCGGAGCATCGCCAGCCCACTGCTGTGATGTGAGCCGCTGCCAGCAGCACCTGCGGGAAGGAAGGAGGTGACGGGGGGGCGGGGGGGGATGAAGGGGAGCCACCCGCTCCATCCCTTCGTCCCGCCTCCCCAGCCACGTGAAGAAGGACGCGAGGCAAACCGCGGTACTCACGCTGATGCCGCCTCCCCAGACGCCCGGCATGGCCTTGGCATCCTTGCTGATGTGCCCCTCTGCCAGGTACTTCCACGTCCCGCCGGGGAAGAGTAGGAGAACGTTGGCTGCCACGGAGAGCGTGCCCAGCACCAGCAGGCAGGGACCCACAATCCGGCTGCATTTCCCCACGCACATGGCCACCCTACACTGGGGGGGGGGGGGGAGGAAGAGGAGGAGGGGAAGGGGCTGCCTTCGGCCCCGTGATGCGCCACGGCTCCCCCACCCCAAGCCCATCACGCAGCCGCGGGTGGACAGGACTTTGCTGGTTTGTGCTTTTGCACCCCAGCCTATCCCACTGCCTTTACTCGGGAGTAATTTCCAACGGAAATCCTCGTTTTCCCACCCCCGTCTAATTAATGAAATACTAAAAATAAATTCCATGTCAATACGGATATACTGCTGCCAAATGGTTATCTCGAGGTTGAGCTATTTTATCGCAGAAGGAGAAGCCTAACTTCAGACCTGCTAATATTTCTTTGCCAAATGGGCAAGGGAGTTTAAGGCGACAGCAGGTCCCTCGCTGAGCCTTGAGACCCGTGCAACCCCCCGGATCGGCTCCTCCGAAGCGTTACTGCAGGAGGGAGACCAGCCTCCGCGGCTTGGTTTGACTTTGGGCGCAGGAGGGAGCCAGGGAAGGGGCGGAATCCTTGGACGAGGACTTGTGAAAGCACATCAGTCCCCAATGAAACCCAACAGCAGCTCCATCCCCTTCACACGCTAGCCCTACTGCAGGTCTGAGTTTGCTGAAACTAATTAAATTTAATTAAGGAAAGGTTATCACATATCCTTCAGACAAGCCATCCAGCTCTGCTGGCGTTTTATTAAGTTATCGTTTCACCCAGAAGGGGCCTGCCCATCTCCAGGTGATAGCTTGGAAAAAATTAGCTCTCCCTCTCCTGTACTTGCTCTGCGACCGCTGGAAACAACCTGTTTTGCTGTTGCTCTGCCTTCCCAGGTTTCTTCTACCCCGTGTTCGTTTTTGCTTCAGGTGGGTTTTACACGTTTTCCCCTTTCCTGGCGGCTTCCAACGCCTTTTTGCACAAGCTTCCTGAATCGGGTTGCCTCTCGCCCTGGCTGATTTATTTCAGGCTTGCTCTGGTTTTACGGAAGCAGAAGTGAACGGGCGCCGCATGGTTGTTTCTGTGGGAAGAGCTGCCTCGGCCCCCTCGTGCGCCGTGTCGGGAGGGAGCAGCTCAGGCCCGGGACGTGTGTGTGGGGGGGTGTCGGGGGGGGGGTGTCACCAGCCCAACAGGGTTTTGCATCGCTGTGACCTGCTCCAGACCAGCCGTGCTGGCCCCGGCGGGCTGCTGGGGGGCCAGGGAGGGCTGAACGTGGAGGGAGAGGGCTGCAAAACCCTGCTGCGTGGAGGGGACGCCAGCCAAGAAGCCCAGGGTAGACTACCAGCTCCACCCACCCTGGAGCTTCACCCCCCTCCCCTTCTGCTTCCTCTCCCCCCTGGTTTTGTTATAAGGAATTTAGGGCCCCTCACCCTCACTGCGGAACCACCTGCAGTCCAGGGACTGTGGGTGGCTGTCCCCTCAGAGCCACGAGCATCCAGTGACGAGTCCCACCTCCGCACTTTGAAGGACCCTCCAGAATAGCTCTTGCTCCTCTGGAGCTCACAGCTTGGGTCGCTCTCACCAGCCAGAGGCCTTTGGGGTCTTCTGCAAGTCTCCCATTAACCTCTCCAAGGACTCTCCTTCCCCTCCTCTCCCCGCGGAGGGCAGAAGGTCTCCTTCCCCCAGGAAGCTCTCCACAGCTTACCGTCCTCCCAGGGCTCCCCTTAAGCAAGAAGCAAGTTTGCATTAGCTGCTTTCTCCTACCTCAGCCGACCGGACAGACAAACCCCTCTGTAAGGGGAGGAAAAGCAAAAGTGCAGCTGAACCAGCCTCAGGACACTCGAAAGGAGGACTCCCTTCCTGCCAGCATGTCTCCACGGCCAAAAGCAAGGGGATTCAGGCAAAGCCCAGCGAACCTGTCCTCCCGCCTTCCTGTCTTACCTGGAAGCGATGCCACACGGAGCCAGCAGCATCCACTCCTCGGATGAGCCCTGTCCTGGAGGCATCACCCCTGGGTGACTATTTATGATGTCCCAGCATGTGCTCCACGTCTTCCTCCTCCACCCACCACAACAGTCATGATCCTTCCCTCTCCCACACAGCTGGCAGCTCAAAAGGAAGAATGACTGTCCTGGCTGAACGAGCCAGCCTCCGCCGGCATCGCGCCTGGGCAAGCTGTTTGAGTTACGCCCCTCGCTCACTGGCAGAAGCCACGGGCCCACCGAAACATTCACAACTTCAGATTTTAAGGCTTCTACCACATCCGCCCTGAACGCCCTGACCATCGCTCAGGTAGCAAACGCCGTTTCTCCCAAAACGGCCTGCAATGACTATGGAGGGAGAACGTTTTCCTGTCTCCTCTGTGGCCCACTCCAGATGCTATCGTTCCGTCGCCGCGAGGCCACATCCTCCACCCAGGGCTTCTTCCACCATGTTTCACCTTATTTCCCTTGTTGTGCAAGAGCTTTTGTGTGTTCGGGTTTGCCTCTTCTTGTTACGACCCACAGGAGGGAGCACGCTAATATTTTAATAAAAGCTTCTAAGTAAGTATACTCATGTCTCAGCTGGTTTCTATCTCCTGCCCTTCGCTGCCTTGCAGATGGCCCAGCTTCTCCTCCAGGTGTTAAGCATACCCCCATTATGTTTATATCTCACACCTCGGTGATAACTTTGAGAGAGAAAGGTTAGTTCTGGATATCTTAATTATTGCTCAGTCATCAGACGCCAGCATTTC